TAACGAATTTCAGGAAGCTTCATGTGGCTTATAAACTGCTTTAGTCTGCAGTTTGTGTAATGCAGTTTTTTATTTAAATTGAAATTCAACATTTGCTGTGACCTTCATGGTATTTTTTATTCTCTGTCATTGCTTCAATTGGTCCTTGAACAGGAGATGGCTGCACTTTTTCAATAGCATTCAAGCTGCTCTTCTCTGCTCTGCTCTGTTGTGCTCTGCTCTGCTTTGAAACGTGCTTATTTAATGGTCTATTCCATTTCGATTTCTTGCTTACATTAGAGCATTTCGTAATGTAAAGCCCGCCTCAAAGCATAATTGCAAACAATTAGCATGTTCATGATAGCACAAGAAGAAAAACACAACAACAACAAAAATGCGCAGAATATCCGCTGCAGGACGTTAATATACCCAGCATTACCCAGGATTAATTGAGAAATGAGCCCACAGAAGAGAAGAGAATCAACTGGTAGAAGATAGCAGAGCTATATTAAATGGCAGAATGATAAAGATAAAGTATGATGAAATGACCTGGCATAAGACAACCGACAGAGTATAAGATGACAAAATGAGCTAGTATAAAATAACCTAAGGAACTAGTATTAGATGACAGAATGAGCTGGTATAATATAACGAAATAAGAGAGAATAATATAGTAAGAAAAGCCGTATAATCAATCTGAATGAGCTAGTGTATCAAAATGAGTAGATAGATAGATAGAATGCACTTGTATAAGATGATTATGTGAGTTGGTGATTGTATGAGCTGGTATAAGATGACAGAAAGATATAGTATAAATGATTGGTGAAATATATTAAAATGATCTACTATAAGACATAGAGATCCCCTAATATAAGAGTAAAATTTATATAAAATATAAGAATACTCTTGTATAAGACTGATTGGTGTAAGAGGTTAGTAGTTTATCTAAAATATTTAAATGATGGTATATACAATTCGTATAAGATATACATATAAGTGATATCTGATATAAGAGTCAATTTCAATTTTCATTTAATATAGTTTTATATTGCATTTGAACGGAATATTCAACATTCTAGAGTAATATTTCATTATTTGCCTTTGCCTTCAGTCCATCATACCCCAATTGAGCCGTATAGGTTCCGGTACGTATTATGTCTTTTAAAATCTTCTACGTAGCTGCTTTAGTCTGCTATCGGATTTGCTTTGTTGTGCAGAAATGCTGCAATCATTAGGGCAAGTCATAAAACCGTAAAATGCTCCGCATTACCGATTGCCAATACATAAGCCAAGAGATGTGAATAGAATATATGCCTTCCTGTGTGCGTGTGTGTGTGTGTTATAAGTAGAAGGTTATGTACTTCTAATCCAGCTTGACTACTCATATTATCTAGTCAGTGAGCGCGCTTGAATGAGTGCACAAGAATTGACTTTAGCTCTCGATGCCCAACTCTTTGGCTCCGATTTTGGCTTATGCGCAATTAGGCAGCCGTTCAACTTGGCCATATTATTAAAATAGCACATATATATATA